TAATTGAAAAGACATTCACAAAAAATAGTTCAAAATAAGCTAATAAAAAACATCTCAAAAGAGTGAATAAAAAAACATCTCGATAAGCTAATAAAAATAGTCAAAATAAAAATAAGCTAATAAGCTAATAAAATAAGCTAATAGTCAAAAGAGTGAATTAAAAAACATCTCAATAAGCTAATAAAAATAGCATGACATGTGAAAAAAATACAAAACCTAACAAAGAAAACTTTGTCAATCGTCACAAAGAAAATAAGCTGCAATTTGAATCAATGACACCATAAATTTAAAATATTGGTTCTGTTATTGTAAATCAACTCAATCAATAATCGGAATTCACTAAATTTAAAATGCATGTTGATTATTTATTTCTATTTTTTGTTTAAATACATGTAAATTTATTTAAACAGGATGTATACTATTGAGTTTTTTAGCATTAGACACAAATCGCAATACCAAACTTATTTACATTAGTTTGGAACTACATAATCAAATATAACAACTATTTATATAATAATTTAGGATTTCTATGATTCGAAACAATTGAAATTTGTAATTATGCACTTGGTGCGGAGCAAAATCTAGTAGAAGAATAATAACAAAGGTAAACTTGAATATAATAAAATTTTGGTTTAATATTGTTTTACCTTTGGCTTGGGTTCAATTGTTAAGCTGCATATTTACCAGTTGAGTTATGTGTAGGTGTTTGTTTTCCATTCACATTCGATTTGGATTTTTTTTTTTCCTTTTCCGGATATATTTAAACTATGGGTTAGCTTTCATATTGATTATTTTATTTTGATTGATCACTGATAAAATAGTGTTTAAGTAAAACTAAAAAATTAAATTAAGTGGTAGCTCAGCTAGTCATTCTGCAGTGTAAAACATGTTCTCATAGTTTAGTTCATTCGACATAATAAAAGAAACTATGATCTGAAATTACGTTACCGACAACTTCGTTTTTGTATCAAATAAAATTACGTTGTTTACTTTTTTTTTTATTGAAAATTAAACTTCCGGTCAAAGTTTAAGATAACTTCTACTAGTGACCGTCTAATTGAAACTTAATCCATTTGAATTAGTACATAAACTCGGACTTAGTACCAGTTTTAAATAATTACAAATCACACCAACTTCAATTGAAACACATTACCAACCCCCCGCTCCAATTATTTGCATCAATACACATGAACAATATTTAATCTGGCACAAAAACACATACTTAATCTCTGCATTCA